CTCCTGGGTTCAAGCGATTCTCCTGCCTCAGCCTCCAAGTATCTGGGATTACAGGCATGTGCCACCACTCCTAGCTATTTTTTATAATTTTAGTAGAGATGAGGTTTCACCATGTTGGCCAGGATGGTCTCGATCTCCTGACCTCGTGATCCACCCGCCTTGGCCTCGTGATCCACCAGCACTCCCAAAGTGCTGGAATTGTAGGCGTGAGCCACCGTACCTGGCCGACTCCCCTCCTTCTTCACACATCACATGCAGTGGGTGAGGACACTTTGTCTCTTCCTCAAAATATGCCCAGAATCTTTCCATGTTTCACTATTTTTACCACGACCCCCCAATCCAAGCCACTGTCTTCTGTAGTGATCTACATAGCATCCTAAGACATCTCCCTGCTTTTATCTTTGTCCTTCTACAGTCTCTTCTTAGCACAGTAGACAAAAGGAGGTTTTGAACAAGTAGACTGGGTCAAGGTACTCCTTTGCCAAAATGCTCCAGTGTCTTTCCTTATCACCCAGAAAAAAAGGCAAAAATCTTTGTTATGACTTAAGGTTGTACATGGTCTGGATGCCCTGTTATCTCTCAGCCTTAACCTTCCTGGCCTCTTTGCTGGTCCTCAACTATACCAGGGATGTGCCCACCTCAGGGCCTTTGCACTTGCTGTCTGTCTAGAATGGCTTCTTTTCAGGTGTCTGCGTGGTTCACTTCTCATCCTTTGGATCTTGACTCAATTCTCACTTTCTTGGTAAAGGTTTGCCTGGCTATACTGTCTAAAATTGTGCCAGGTGCCTGCAACCCTTCCTTGTCTCTTTTGCACAGCACTTATCACTATCTAACGCTTGTATTTATCTTGTTTACTCTCCGTATCCCTGAAATCAGGGGCTTTGCCTGCTTTTCCTCCCACTGCTTTATCGCCAGTGACTAATACATTGTAGCCATTTAATAAATTGTTGAATGAATAGTTTAAACTGAATGCTAAAATTGGAAGTTTTAGAAATGTAGGAGCTCCTAAAAATGACTCATTCATTTATTCACTGAGTATTAGCTGAGTGCCTACTCTGTGCTTATGTCATACCTGCTGTGGCAGTGGGATCGATGATGTTACAGATTGGAACATATGATATAAAATACCTGCTGAAAAAGACCATCTTTTTTTCACTAGGATGGAATTGATACTCCCTGGAGCTTCCCTCACCGTGATTATCAGGACGAAACTAATAACTACAAGGGTTTCTCCCATTAACAAGAGTCCAGTGGCTGCAGGGTCATTCTTTTCCTCCTAAAACACTTGAGATAAGTTTCCAGTTGACTTGGAAAAATAACAGTTTTCATTAAGCTCATGATATTGAATTAAAAGAAAGTGAATGGTCTCAGCCAGAGAAACCATCATTCTATTTCTCTAGAGTTAGTCTTATCCATCTCTCAAAACTCAGGCTGAATATCCCCAGCTCAGTTAGGAACAGAGTGGTTGATAGGCCAAATGTTGGGAAGTGTGATTTTTTATTTATTTATTTATTTTATAAAAAGGAAGGAAAAGAGGGACATGTGAACTGTAAGAAACTAGACAGTTCTTGTAAATCTAGCATGGTTTGTGTACTTTAATAGAAAATTGGACCCAGTTTTTGCTCCTGCATTTTTTTAAAAAAGAATGTGGAGAAACAGAAAGAATTAATGAAAAGCAGAGTAGTAAAAATTAGGAGGGGGGAAGGAGCTCTTAGGGAACTTTCTAAAGAGATCAGTACCATTTACCCTGACAAAGAGAAGGTAAAGAAGTGAATCAATTCCTCCTCTCGCTATATAAGAGGCCACATTCAAAAGGCTACTGGATAGCCTGTCCTTCACCACCATCATTTCTGGTATTGATTTATAGAATTTGGGGCTCAGTTTGCACTCTTTCTTGAGGACAATAATAATAACATCCTGCAACAGATAACAGAAAGATAATGGAAATCACACAGATAAAGAGATGGAACTGGGGTAGGCACAGAATTTACCTGCCTGGGGACCAGGGGCCAGGACCTGTTACCCTTTTAGGATACATAATGTTAAAGTTAGAGCGGACATTTTCTATTCTCAAAGGTAACACATCCATTTCCTGAAAGAAGAATCAGAGGTTCGGAGAGCCTAGGGACGTGCACCAGCTTACACAGCAAGCAAATGGCAGACCTGGTATAGGACTGGGACCCTCTGATTCTTGGGCCACCTTGGGAATTCTGGAATGTCTATTTCCATAATTTCTGGTCATATGCATGTAGTTTCAAGACTAGAGAATGGATTACTTTAAGGCTGTTCCTGGGCAGCATTGGTATCCTTGTGAGCCCTGTGTGGTCTTTATCAATAGAACTAGTCCAGTACCTTGGAGCAGCACTGGGAGGTTACAGATGGGCCCAGGAGGAGCCATTGTAGGTGCTTGTGCTGGCTCCACCGTGGCCTACCATATGCCCTCAGATATGTCACTAGTTTCTCTACGGCTCATAGTATGTCAGAGGGTTATCGTGAGGATTAAATAAAATATAATCTGTCTAAAATGTTGGGCATAATTCCTGACATAGAGAAAGAGCTTCTTAAATGTTGGCTATTGTAGTAAGTACAGAATAATCACATGTTGGATGAATGGTTAAAATCCTTTCCTAAGGCAGGAGTTTGGGACTATTTTTGATCATCCAGGGTTCCCTGGATGCACCCTGTTGTGTGTTGTAACAGTAGCTTAGAATGTCAGACACGTAGAAGCTACCCACCAGTAACAATATAGGACTCCTCGTTTACGACAGGAAGATTTAAGCACAAAGAGTAAAAGTGAACAGCAAAGGGTTTGCTCAATTAATGGCAAAACTGGAATTAGAATCTAATTCCATGACACCAAGGTTATTTTCTTTGAAGCTTGAAGGTTATTTTCCTTGAGTGTTACAAGTCTGTAGAAGAAATTGATTGAGGACTACGAATGAAACTTAACTTAGTTTGCTTTCCCTCATCTTTTAAAGTCAAGACAAATAGAAGCTCATAACCTACCTTTAAAAAATTAATATAAGAAGCATTCACGTTTCCCAGTAAATCCAACTATAATAAAAAATACATATTATGACAATCTACATGTTATCAGTGAATGAAGGCTGACAGAGTGAGCAGAAAGTAAGGATGAGACAGAAAGAGGAACCACAGGAGAGAGGAAGAGGCCAAAGAGGGAGATGGAGAGATGAGGCAAGGGGCTAAAAAGACATAAAGGGAAAAAGAAAATAATTGTTTATATTGAGTTTTTTGTAATTGCTTCATTCACCCCTACAATATTATCTCAGGTATTGAAGAGTACCAACCTTAGTACCAGCCTTAACTATCTCAGTTAATCCCTGGTTCACAGATAAGGGAACTAGGGCTTACTCGGCTCAGTCATACGTCCAGTGTCATTTAGCAGGGAAGGGGTAGAGTTATTCAGGTATTGATCGACTTACCACCTATGCAACTTACGACCATTCAACTTTATGACCACAATCGCTAGCCATGACTGCTGCGCGTCTGGCAGCGCAAATGCTGCCCAGCTGGGCGTAAGACAGCGCGGACCAGCTTCCGGCAGCACTACCATCTCCGCATGCACCATTTCAACTGTACATATAGCCTACTCAACTTACGACCAAATCGTGTTATGACCGGTCTGTGGTCCCGACCGTGGACATAAGTCGAGCACTAGCTGTATGTGAAAAAGCTTTCTTTGACTCCAACATACATGTTTTTTGCTCCTATTTTCCCTTTCTTCTCCTTGCTGTTCTCTCTCCTTTCTGTTTCCACTTCCCCTTGTTCCTTTTCTCCTTTCTACCCTCCCGGCCTCTCTCTCAGTCACACAGTACCGTTTGCGTCTTGAAGCTTTTTGGCGTGTCTCCACTAAGCTTTGGAGTCTAAGTTGTGTTTTTGCAGTCATACCCTTTTCTGACCTACCTCGAAAGACAGATACGGCTCGAAAGACAGATACGGCTCGCATGACAAACTAGATGTTTGGCATTGTGGTTCCAGTCCATTCTGCAGCCTCTGTGGCTCGTTATCTCCTGAGAGAGTAGGAGGCACTCTTGCAAGTGGACTACGGGGAGGAAGGGAGAGAGATCAGAAATTGGAGCTGCTAGTGGAGTAGCTGTCGCTGAGTTTCAGGCTAGTCACCTGCTTAAAGGATAATTTTCTTGACTCTTGGGATGTAAAAAATGTGTTCTAATGTTGAATTCTGTTTATTGCTGTTGTGACTAAGATGGAAACTATAGCCTTCTAGATGATGGAAACTAACTTAACAGAGACTTTTCTCCTGATGAAGGGCGTAGAATTGGAGGGGGGCAGGGGTCTGTTTTCAACCTAATGCATAGACATGGAGGCTTCTGAGAGTTGGGCTGAACCTTGATGAAAACCCTGAGCTTTGGAGAGGCTGAGATAATTCCAACCTACACCTTTGCCTATGTACCCTCCCCCACCTCCAAAATCAGCCACAGATTCTGAAATGTCATCTAGGTGACATCCCTCCACCCCTTCACTTACTAAATACCCACAGCTGGCTCCCTGAAGATCTTCCCTGACAAGTCAGATCAGGTGATGTTGTGATCAAGCTGGTGCACTAGGGGCAGACCTAATGGGACGTGAATGCCAAGGATGATGCATAGGATCTGACAGAGGGAGTTTTTAAAGTAATGTGCTTGTTACTTAACTCTTTCATGCTCACGGTTTTTTAGAGGCAGCAGGTAGAGGAAGAATGTGGGGATCTGCAGGGATAGCAAGGAGAGGGTGGCCTATTAGAAGATAAAGAGTTTATTAAAGCTTAAGATGCACACTTCTTAGTGTGGTCACCATAATGCATTGGAAAGAATATGCACTAAAGTACCCCTCCTTCTACATAGGCATAAGCAAACAGCTTTGCTTTCATTGTTTCATCTGTCAACATTACAACATTCCCAATTCAGGATCATGATGATTCCCCTTTCACAGATGAGTAAGTTGAGGCTTAGGTGGGTAATACATTTTCCCATCGTTGTTGTGGGTATTATGATAACCTCTGCATGTCCTGCTGCGTGTCAGCTGTGCAAGAAGAAAGACAGAGGAGCCGGGAGCGAGCTGAGAGTGAGGCAGAATGTGCCAGTAGTGGTCATGAAGACATGCCCGTGGAGAGAATTCTAGAAGCTGAACTTGCTGTTGAACCAAAGACAGAATCCTATGGTGACATGAACATGGAGAACTCGGTATGTGCTCTTAGATACACATGTGTGTTCCATTTCTTGGATAGGGCTGGAAATGGGAGAAAGGGGTGTATTCGAGTCCTGGGACCTGTCCTCTCAGTACTTTCTTCCTTTTTCAGACAAATGACCCTGTTACCAACATATGTCATGCGGCTGACAAGCAGCTTTTCACCCTCGTTGAATGGGCCAAGCGTATTCCCCACTTCTCTGACCTCACCTTGGAGGACCAGGTCATTCTGCTTCGGGCAGGTAAAGTATATTGGCTGCCTTTCTCTCTGGGACAATTTTGAAATTGCTCTTGGGATCCTAAAAAAGGTGGCCTGACGAAGCTGCAACACATCCAAGCTATGTACCATGTTGATGATGAAATAACCCCATGCAGAGTTGTTTATTCCCAATTGAAACATTGTTAAGGAAGGAGTGGGACTCTTTTCCCATGCAAATTTTACCATGGCTTTATAATTTGCATATGTTTTTCAAAGACTGTTCAATCATTTTTATTGAGGATAATTTGAAGCAGCACCTCATTATTGTAATGCAATTGGCAAATATCTCACCCATTTCATGGGTGAGATAAAGAAGCCAAAGATGTTTGCTTAAGTGTGTACTAGATGAGTTCCATGATCTTCCTATTTTAAGACTCTGTGTGCTGTATTTTCTCTTGCCTCCTATTTCTGGGACACTTGCAGACCGTTGACAAACTCCATATCTCCTCTTTGTCACTGAGCCAGTAGGGAAATATTATGAAGATTGGCTGAGCATTGGGAACCAGTCCATTCATTCATCCCTGTTAGATAATGAGCACTCATTGATTGTCAGCTGGAAGCTACGTACTGTGTTGGGAGCTACTAGACAATGACAAAGAAACAAAACTAGGTTGTCAGATCCTGGGGGCAGAGACTGCAAGGTATATTAGCTTTGTCCACCCTGGCAGCTAACATAGTGACTACTATCTGCTAAATGTTCAATCCACATTGTTGACTGATTAAAAAAAAAAGAAAGAATCCTTGTCCTCAAGCTGTCATTCTGGGTTGCATCTGAGAGAGAGTAGGGGATGTGCAGAGCCGTAAGTCAGCAGACTCCAGTCTTATCCTTTGTTTCTTGCCTAATTAGCTGTGTCCTCTTGAACTAATTCTTAACCTCCCTAGATTTTCAATTCTGCTTGTGTTATGTGGGATAATAGTACATGCCTTGGGTGATTATAAAGAAAGAAAGAATGTGGTCTGTTTTCCCTCAAGACCTCCTCCTTATCCTTGCAGGGTGGAATGAATTGCTGATTGCCTCTTTCTCCCACCGCTCAGTTTCCGTGCAGGATGGCATCCTTCTGGCCACGGGTTTACATGTCCACCGGAGCAGTGCCCATAGTGCTGGGGTCGGCTCCATCTTTGACAGGTGTCTCTCTTCTGCTTTCAGTATTTGTGTGTATTATGTATGTGTATGTATACACATGTGTATATACATGAATTCTCATGTGGGCATGAACCTCTGGGTAGTGCTGGGATGGAGGATGGGCAGCTCAGCTGCATGTGACTATGCAGAGACCACTTGGCACATGAAACTATAAACCTGGGGAATGAGGGAGAGATTAAAATAAATGTTGAGATCACAATAAGATGGAGCCAGTCAGAGGCCAGCACAGTTGCCAGGCAGATGGAAGAACCTGTTATCCCAATGGGTTTTCCAAGAAGAGATTAGATCTTGACACCAGCTAGTGAGTTGTGCGTGGAGAGGGTGAACTGCTTATCCTAGGGGCCAGGGATGGGAAAGGGATCAGGATCTGTCCGCAAGAGGACAGGCCAAATGGGCTGTTCATGCCGGGCTCTGGGTGATCTCAGAAGGAGGCTTGCAGCAGGAGCGAACCCATCTTGGTCAGGCAGGGACACCCTGGCAGACATTCTGGGCCTTAAATGATACTAAAGGAAAATTAAACCATCTGCCAAGGAATCAAATAAAATGAGTAGTTAATGACTTGAGCGTGGGAGGATGGAGAACTGGTAAAGAGGAGAATTCAGTTGAAATTAATCTCTCTGTCCAGTGCCAGGGCCCTGTGGCCCCTTTCCACCTCCATGGTAAATGGTCTTTTTTTTTTTTTTTTTTTTTTTTTTTAATCATGTGCACATCCACTGAACTGTCTCTACTATTTTCCTGCCCTTTCCCACATGTTCCATGTAGAGTCCAAAATGGCATTTGGAATGACCCATCACCCTTCACGGTGCCTGGACATTTGTACCAGTTCACTGACTCTGCCCTCTGCTGTGCTTTTCTAGATATGCAATGCCCTTGGCTTGCTTTGCGTGTTGCATTTCTAATTTCCAAGACTTCCATGATGCCTTTCCGGTTCCCTGCTCGGAGTTAATTGCTGCCTCTTTGGAGCCCACTTGGACTTTGCTCATGGCTGTTATATTCCCGGGCTTTGTGTTGCTGCTTGTTTTTATGTCTGTTTCTTTAGTTAAGCGGTAATCTTGCAATGAGGGGTTGCATCTTTTTCATTTCTGTGTCCCTAGTACCTGGTACATCGTCTGGGAACAGAGTGGGTGTATGAAAATTTTGGCTGAATTCATTGTATTGACTCTTGGCCTGGTGCTCTTGGTTTTCTCATTACCTGCTTCTTTCCTCTTAACAGAGTTCTAACTGAGCTGGTTTCCAAAATGAAAGACATGCAGATGGACAAGTCAGAGCTGGGGTGCCTGCGAGCCATTGTGCTCTTTAACCCAGGTAACCGCCCTTGGACCCCAGAGGCTGTGTGTGCTCAGCCCTTCCATGGCCAGCCTCCATTGCTCCCATGTTGTTGGTCCTCCAGCTCAGCTGAGACAGAGATGGCAGAGCCGGGAATCCAGGAGAACTCACAGTGTCAGCTACAGCCATCTTAAAAAAATGTTTTGAATGGGCATGGCAGGCACATGTCTGGGGCAAGTGGGGAAGATGAAAAATGAGAGTGGCCCAGGGTGGCAGTGAAGGGGGTGGTAAAAAGCAGTCAGATTCTGGATAGATTTCTAGGTAAAGCCACTGTGATTTGTTGATGGATTGAATATAGGATGTGAAAGAAAGAAAGGAGTTAAATATGACTCCCTGGTTTTTTTTTTTTAATTTTGTTTTCCTGAACAATGGGGAAAATGAAGTTCTTATTCACTGAGGTGGGGAAAACTCCATGAGGAGCAGGTTTTGAGAGTAGGTGGGTAGGAATCAGGATCTTGTCTTTGGACATTAAAATAGGAGATGGGTAAGTAGATACCCAACAGTGGCTGCCCAGAAAGCTCATATGAGTCTGGACCTCATGGGAGAAGCCAGGACCAGAGACGTACATCTGAGAGCTGGCAGCCTCTGCCTGTGTAAGGCCATGACACTGGGGTGAGATCATCTGGGGAGACAGAGCAGAGAAGAGGGCTGGGGACTGAGCCCTGGGGCATGCCAACATTTAGAGGTCAGGGAGAAAAGGAAGAGCCAGCAAAGGAACCTGAGAAGGGGCAGGCAGTGAGATAGGGAGAGAATCAGAAGGGTGGTGTCCTGGAGGCTCAGGGAAAATAGTCTTTTATGAAGGAGTTGATCAGCTCCAGCAAACGCAGCTGTGGTCAAGAAAGATGAACCTTCAGAATGAGGAGTCACTAGTGCAGGGGCTTTACCTCCAGAATTAGGCAGTTAGTTCACTGATGCAGGACATGTGCCAGTTCAGCTTTTGTGCCTCATCTTATCATTCAGTTCATGCTTAGCACATAGATACTCAGTAAATGTGTACAGGTAGTATTTTGAGAATGGCCTGGATAAAGTAAAGCTCTCCTCTTTAGAGTCAGTGGTGGGTACATTTGCCTATTAATGGAATTTAAAATCTTTGCCCCAAGAGTTTGTTGGGTAAGTTGGGCACAGAAAGAAGAGCAAGGGGGCACGAATGACCAGCTTTGTTTATTTCACACTTGTTTTCATCCAGGGTGTCTCTAGTAACTCTAGGGAGGGTGGCCAGAGGGAACGGGGACAGCTTCTGCTGGAAGGTGTGTAACCAAAGGCTAAATCACTCATCTCTTTTAGATGCCAAGGGCCTCTCCAACCCCTCTGAGGTGGAGACTCTGCGAGAGAAGGTTTATGCCACCCTCGAGGCCTACACCAAGCAGAAGTATCCGGAACAGCCAGGCAGGTGAGAGAGTGCCGGCAGGATAGTCACGGCAGCAAGGACTCCACTCTTCATCCCCTGAGCTCCTAATGTGCAGCAGGCACTGTTTAGGCGTTTTCACATGTTATTTAATCTTCATAACAAGCTGAAAGTGACAAAAATGTTAACTCCACAGGGCTATTGGCCTTGTCTGTCTTGCTCACCATTCACTCCTCTAGCCTCAACACATAAAGCAGTGCCCGACACATGGTACACATCTTTAAATGGAGGATAAATAGCAAACAAATAATGTGGGAATTATTATCTCCAATTTCTGTCAATAAACAGAACCTCAGAAAAGTTAAGTGACTTGCCGAAGACCATAATGCCAGCACGCAGTGGAGGTGAGATGGGAACCCACTGGGTGTGATTTCACAGAGCCTGTGTTCACGGTGTGACTGCATTGCTTTCTGTCTGCCCCCGTAGAAACTCCCACGCAGTACAAAGTACAGGCTTTGGTAGCTGGAAGACGTGGCTGCTGGTCCCCAGGTGCCATGTGTGTGGTATCTGGCAAGGTGCTGGGTTTGAGTCTAGGCTTCTCATTTGGAAAGAAGGATATTGGTCTAGCAGATCTCTGAGGCCATCTAGCAATATAGGTATTTCTGAGTTATTAAAAAATATTCTCAAAAGTTTCTTCCAAAGTACAGTTAAGCAAAAGAGTTTTCCCTCTCTGCTAATGCCAGCTAAAATGAGGAAATATGATCCTCAAATCTCATAGAAAACTGGAAATGAAACTGAAAAGACTGTCTTAAAGACATTAATTTTGTTTGGGCGATTAATTTTACATGCTCCCAGCGCTGACTAATGATTTATATTCCTCTGTGAAGTCTAATATCTACTTAGATGTTTATCCTGAATCATAAGCCAACATCTAGCAATTGTCAAGAAGCGGTTGAGCTGTGTTTTTTGTTGGAGGCTGTGGATGAATTCGAGTAGGTGGGTTTTGGCCCATTTGGTGCAATGAATAGGCAGGGCCTAGTATATTAGTGAGATTAAGCTGTAATAATAGACCCACCAAATGCCAGCAGTTTAACACAAACGTCTATTCCTTGCTCAGAAATCTGGGTGGGCAGTCAGTTCAGAGAGGTGGCTGTCTTGCATGCTGTCACTCAGGGATCAAAGCTCCTTTTTCTTGTGTCTTCACCATGACCCAGAGCCATACTGTGTTTTGCATCCAGATGAAGGAAGGGGGAAGAGGTAGAGGAGTGGGGAGCCCAGGCCATACGCGTCAGACCTGGGACTTAGAGGGCCCTCATCTTTTCACTCACTTTCTTTGGCTGACACCAAGTCATGTGGCTCAGCTGGCCACAAAGGAGGCTGGAGAATGTGTCCTGCTGTATGCCAAGGAAGAGAAGAAAAGGCTGGTATTTAGTGAACCTGGCACTTCACTATAGATGAGATTGAGAGAGCTCTGGCCAAGGGGTCAGGACCTGGCTGCCAGCATTAGCTTGGCCTCTGTTAGGTGTGAGCCCTAGGCAAGTCATAGTAACTGAAGCCCTGAGTTGGATACTTTCTATCAAATCTTTCATTTTTGAACACGTATTTGTATGCAGGGCATTAGAAATAATGAGTGTCGTATATATCATTTTCCTGAAACTGGCTCTATGTCTTGCCGTTTCTCTTAAAAAACAAACAAAAACTCCAACTCGCTTTTTTCCTAATTATAAAAGCAATGCATACTTTGGCTAAAAAAAAAATAGAAAAATATTTTGAAAAAACACGTGGTGGCTCATACCTGTAATCCCAGCACTTTGGGAGGCTGAGGTGGGCGGATCACCTGAGGTCAAGAGTTCGAGACCAGCCTGACCAACATGGAGAAACAGTGTCTCTACTAATAATACAAAACTTACCGGGGCTTGGTGGTGCATGCCTGTAATCCTAGCTATTCAGGAGGCTGAGGCACGAGAATTGCTTGAACCTGAGAGGCGGAGGTTGTGGTGACCTGAGATCGCACCATTGCACTCCAGCCTGGGCAGCAAGAGTGAAACTCTGTCAAAAAAAAAAAAAAAAAAGTAGGTAATAAAAACTTACTGGAAATATTTTGGTATATTTCTTTCCAGTATCCTCGTGTGTCTATTATGTATTATGTGTATCGTGTATGCATTTCTAGATATGAAATTATACAGTTTGGTGTATTATTTTCTTCCCTTAGCCATTCTAGGAATTTTATTCAGTTATTGACAACTACAAATTATCATTTCCAATGGCTTTGTAATATTTTGCAATGTGAACATATCCTAATGTATTTAGTCATTGCCCTGTGATGGACATTGGGTTGTTTCCAATGCATATCACTGTGAAAACTTTGGAACTTGACTCTTCTGCTGGACGAGGGCTGGCAGGAGCCTAGGCTGCCTCCACACACTGACGAGAGAGGCCAACACTTGTTGCCAGGACTAGGGAGAGCCTGGAACAGCAGAGAGGTGGCAGAGGATGGGTACCCTACATGTCTCCTGGGTTCGTCCAGCACAGCTTGGACTGAGGGTGACTGCCCTGATTAAGTGTTCGTAGTTGGCTCAGCAGGTAAAACAGGGGTGTCACTGGCCAGGTAGGTGAGTGTGTTGAGGGCTGGTCACCTCAGTTCTGCAGAATGTGGTTGAAGGGGATCCTGGCACAGCCAGGTGGAGGTGGATTTCTCAGTGGTAGAGTGCTGCCACTCTGTGGAGATGTCTCAGAAGTGCATGTCACGGGCTGCGTTCTGCTTTCTCTGGTCAGAAAGCAGAGATCAAAAGTCAGGTCACAGAGCTCTTGCACACACAGCAGGCGCCTCCAAAGGCATAAATCCCCCTTGTTGCTCAGGGGTGAGGAATGCGTTGGCAGTTCCATGGCTGTGACATTCATGGGTGTGTTTATTTCTATTGGCTTTGAACTCAGTTCCTAAATCCAGGTCACAAACAGAGAGCAGCAGTATGATGGCATACTTAGCATTTTGCATTTTGTAAAATCTTGGCCTTTTTAGAGTAAAAAAAAAACACTTTTAGGGTTAATCTTGGTGTAACTTTGCACTTATAGAGAAGCCGTTTCCTTCGCCTACTTCCATAAAGCTTACCGGCAGAGGTATGGCTGGGAGTCCAGCCTCCTTATTCTCTAACGACCTCTTTCCTGAACGGTGATGCCACTCAAATGCTTTCTGGGGCTTTACCGCTGGAGGCTTTTGCAGTATTGTGTGGCATTGGCATAGACCTTTAATTTTTCCACGTAGAGAAGCAATTTCTACTTTTTTAAAGATGGTGCCACTTTATTTTTCTTGTATTGATACATTTCTTTAAAATGTCATATGGCATGAGTATAGAAATATACACATTTTCAATTGAACTTCCAGTTTGTAACTTTTTCATGAAATATCATTGTGACACTCAGTTGAGATTCAACTGGAACCAGAAATCTCTGATTTAGGGCTACAGTGGCTAATGCAATTTTGGTCCTTGAACTTTTTATTGTAAGTTGTGAGTAGAGTGACTTCATATCTAGTAGCATTAATAACGTTAAAAGTGAGCTGGCATTGCACTGTGCGCAGAGGGCCACATAGGCAGAGTGAAAAATGTCACAGAGAGAGGTGCCCAAAAGGACATGAGATGGGAGATGAATTCCTTCACACACTGGTCTTTCTCCCTGTTGTGACTCTCACAACAAGTGTCCTCACTTATAGAAAAATGTATGTGAGGGTGTGTATGAGTGAGCATGTGAGCGTGTGTGTGGGCATGTCTTAGGACGTGTTAGAGTATGAGTGTTGAGTGTGTGTCTGCATGTTTGAGTGGTTACATGCACATGTGTGTGTGAGCATGAGTGTGCATGTATGGGTGTGAGACCACATGCATGAGATATGTGAGAATGCGTGTGCACACACGTGTATGTGTATTGTGTAATGTGCATGACTATAGTGTGAGAGCATGTGTGAATGTGTGTGCAAATGTGATGTATGTGTGAAGGTGTGTGCATGCACATGTGAGGTCATGTGAAAGTGCATATGAGTGGGCATGTGTGTATGTGTGAGGCTGTGTGTGCAAGTGCATGTGTGTGAGGGAATGTGAGAGCATCAGAGTGTGAGTGTGCATGTGTGAGTGGTGAAGATGTGTGTGAGGGCACATGGGTGTGAAGCATGTGCGAGTGTGTATGAGAATGTGTGGGTCAGTGTGTATGCATGTGTGCATGTATGTATCCTCTGCCCAAACAGATCATAGGCTTCTCAGAGGCAGAGACCATTATTTTCTATCTCCTGTTTTCCTAATTTAAGGGTAAGCACAGACTAAGAAGTTGACCATAAAAATTCGTAACAATTGGCTGGGTGCAGTGGCTCATGCCTGTAATCCTAGCATTTTGGGAGGCCGAGGCAGGTGGATCACCTGAGGTCAGGTGTTCAAGACCAGCCTGGCCAACATGGTGAAACCTCATCTCTACTAAAAATACAAAAATTTAGCTGGGCATGGTCGTGGGCACCCATAATCCCAGCTACTTAGGACGCTGAGTCAGGAGAATCTCTTGAACCCGGGAGGTGGAGGTTGCAGTAAATCAATATTGCGCCATTGCACTCCAGCCTGGGCAACAAGAGCGAAACTCCATCTCAAAAAAAAAGGTAACAATTGGTTACAAATTGGCAACAAAAATTTGGTGACTGTGAGCTGGCATTGCACTGTGCATATGCCTGTAGTCCCACCTACTTGAGAGGCAGAGGTAAGAAGATTGCTTGAGCCTAGCTACTCAGGTCCAGCCTGAGCAATATGGCGAGACCCCATTCTTAAAAAAAATTTTTGTGGGTGTGGGTAACTAAAGCAAATTGAAAGCATGGTGGCTAAAGTGGCGTTCTCAAACACGTTCATCTAATGGTGACAGCTGCCACGGATTCAGCACATTCGGTGCCTCATGCTTTGCTCTAAGTTCTTCAGCAGGTCTGTGCAGATACCCGAGGGACACAGAATGTGACGAGACAGTAAGGCTGGCAACGTGAGTGGACACAGTCATCCAGTTCTTCCTCTTCCCTACTGTGAATGAGGGGAGCTGAGGGCAATCCTGGGACGTGGCTACAGAATGCAAGATTCTTGAAGGGTCATGTGCTCCAGCTTCTGCCTTTAAGGCTGACGAGCCCTCTAGCCTGTTTCTGAAGCTCTCTAGGCTTAGAGATCCTGTGACTCCCTTGTCTCCCCTTCCAGCTCTTCTATCATAGATTGGGCAAGAAGACCAAATGGACGGTCTCCCACCAGCAGGTGCAGGTGTGCGGTGCATGCCAGTCCCTGTTCCTGATGCCTCTTGGCTTCCCTGCAGGTTTGCCAAGCTGCTGCTGCGCCTCCCAGCTCTGCGCTCCATTGGCTTGAAATGCCTGGAGCACCTCTTCTTCTTCAAGCTCATTGGGGACACCCCCATTGACACCTTCCTGATGGAGATGTTGGAGACCCCGCTGCAGATCACCTGAGCCCCACCAGCCACAGCCTTCCCACCCAGGATGACCCCTGGGCAGGTGTGTGTGGACCCCCACCCCGCACTTTCCTCCACCTCCCACCCTGACCCCTTTTCTGTCCCCAAAATGTGATGCTTATAATAAAGAAAACCTTTCTACACATGAGACTTTTATAGGTGGACTTTTGTATAGATGTTAAAGGTAATACTCGTTGCTGTCTACAGGGCTGGGGGACTTTCTGGAAGTTCTTGGGAAAACTAACCAAGCCTCTGTACATATAATTGGTTTAAATTATTTTTTCACTTGCCCTGGAAAGCAAACAAATGAGTAATAAAATAATATATATGAAATTGGCACTGCTGGAGCATGGGGTGTGTTATTGTGCTACAGGGAAGTTGTCTCAGACATGGAGAAGGGGTATCAGAGGCTGGGGGTCGGGGCTGGGGCTGGGGCCCTGAGACTAAATCCCAGAGCACAATGCCCATGTCTCAGCTGGGATTCGCTGCACAGCCAGCTTCGCCCCAGGGAAGATTCTGGGGAGACTGGGAAGAGACACTCTCTTTAAAAAAATCAACTTTTGTTTTGTTTTGTTTTTTTGTTTTCCTCCTAAGAATAATGAGCAGAAAGAGACTTATTTTGATTGGAGGCAATTCAGTATAAGGCCAAAGGAGAGATGTTCTCTGTCCTGGAAGCTGGTGGAAGATCTCAGGTTCTGGGAGTTGGTAACAAAGGAATAGAGTTTTCTATTATATCATGAGCCAGCAACAACACTGAAAAGACTAGAGTACACCTAGCTTATTTTCCAATCTTATCTAACCCTACGCAGCCTGTTCTTAAAAGGGAAAGAGAGAAAACCTCTCCCATCTTCCAGCCTGGGATCTCCAGATTTACCTGGTTCTTGAAACTCAACTGCTTGCTGGACAACGAGCTCTTGGAAGGTATGGACCATGACAACACGGACAGCCCATGTAGCTCACTGTTTTCAACTCACATTCCTGCCACCTGCAGGACTAAGGCTTAACAGACACACACGTTCATGTATGCTGTGAATTACACGGTACCTCCTAGGGTTGTAAATGTGCAGGGTGAACAACTGCACTTACCTTTTCCATACCACAAGCACCTGACTCAGGGCCTGGTAAAGCACACAGTGATCTGTGTTGTTGAGTTGGGTTCCACACAGCTAGAAAGAATTCCCTAAACGACAATGTGGATGACATTTGTCTCATTCCCCATTAATAACTTGTCCCCTCAAAATCTCCAGGTTAACGCTCCAGTCAAAATACAATTGTGTGATCAGCGATTGCTTTACTAAAATTGCTTTACTCCTAAGAAAAATTTAGGGATCTCTTAGCCTTGGACATTAAACAATGGAAGGAAAATCTGAATTCTGCTGTTTTTTTCCTTTACTTATGTATCTGCATTTACCGTGAACTATGATGAAAATGATTGGAGAGGGGTGTTAAAATTTAATTGTATCCTCCGTGATCTCTTCCTTCTGCCAGCATAATTCACTGGACACATTCAACTGCTTTACAGGTAACCAAAAACCTTCCAGGAAAATTCACTGCTCCCCACCACTGGTGGTCACCTGAGTCTCATTCCAATTTTTTTTTTTTTTTTTTTTT